AGGAAGGGGGGGAGGTGTGCCAGAGCAGAGACCCCTGTATCCTGTGGTGAGATGGCAGGGCTGACCCCTCACCACCCATGGAGGTCCACGATGGAGCAGAGGCCAACTTGAAGCTCGTGGAGAAGCCCACTCCAAGACAGGTGACTGCACTTGAAGGAAGCCAGGACTTTGAGGGGAGAAGCGGCCCCCGCTGTTGTGGTTCGGTGCTGGGAGGGCTGTGACACGTGGGGGTGACCCAGAACAGATCAGCGTGGGAAGGGCTGCGGCCCATGAGGACTCACTCTGGAGAAGGTTCATGGAGAACTGTCTCCAGTGGGAGGGGAGCACGTGGAGCAGGGGAGGAATGTGCAGGGTTCACCCCACCTCATGAGAAGGAAGGAGCGGCGAGCTGACTGTGACCCCCAACCCCTGCCCCCTGCGCCGCTGGGGGGGGGGGGCAGAGAGATGGGGAGCAGAGCTGAGCCGGGGAAGAAGGGAGCGGTGGGGGAGATGTATTTTGGACTTGGTGGTGCTTCTCACTGTCCTACCTTGTCTGTTAAGTGTTGTCTTTGTTACTGTTCGAATTATAGTGATGGTTTTTTTCCTTCCCCTAATGGGTCTGTCTTTTGTCCATGACTGCAATGCATGAGCCATCCTCCCTGTCTTTATCTGGATTCCTGAACCTTTCACTCTATTTTCTCCTTCCCATTCCTGAGGGGGAACAGGTGGGTGAACAGCTGCGTGGTGCTCAGTTGTCCTCTGGGCTCAAATCAGGACACACTTGAACTTTGAGAACGGGATGGTAAACACTTTCTGTTTGGTGTAGTAGGATCTAAATAAAAATTACACCTTTATCTGTAAACTGCTCCCTCTTTGTAATATCTAATTTCCTCTAAGCCTCCCTACATTTCTCCTATCATTTCCCCAGACAGGGGCAATGCTGCATTCAGGCAGCTGTCAAGGTTTTAAGAGATTACTGGATCACACTGATTTTTGAAGGCCAGTACTTTCCTTTGCCAAGTAAGTATATGTTCTAGGAACTAACTTGAAGGTGCTGATTTATTAAATGCAACCCCCATTTACCTGGAATAACTCCTAAACAAATGAAGACAGTTTTGTGAAACCTAAGGAATTGGTCAGAGTGAGTTTTTCAGAATAGGTGCTGTTTTCAGATGTCGCTACAGTTCTGTTCCCATCTGCTTCAGGGACCTCACCCCTGAACACTTTGCTTTCCGTTCCTCTACATAAATTTCTATCATCAATGCAGACTTTCCCTGCAGCATTTGCTGCTGGAAGCAGGTTTCCTGTAATGCTCTGCACCTCCTCAGTTCTCTGTTTCAAGAGTCATCCTAATAAACACGGACAGGCCCTCACTTAACCTTTTTCTCTCGTTCTGATATTAATTTTTACATAGTTGTTCACATTATCAGCCTGTTGTAGCGAGGTTTTAATTCCTTACATGCCTGTAATATAGTCAAGGACTTAGTCACAGAACATGCAAAAGATGTCATATAAAAGAAATTATACCATGGTATTGCACACTAATTGGCTTTAAAAAGAGTAGGTACAAAGTATCACTCTGTAATGAAACACAATTGTAGGGAGAGTAAGGAGCCCATGATTTGACTAAGAGAGACTCTTTCCCAGAGGAAGACCATTGCATGTGGCATTTTTAGTGGAAAACATGAATTATGTGTGTAAAAGCAGTACCTAAACAACCACCATGAGTGGGCCTTGCAATCTGGGGCCCTGTACTGCTGCACTGCTAGCCTCAAAGCGTAAATAAGCTGCGAGAAGCAGGTTCAGCCAGCTGTCCACAACCGCATCTACATGCAAGGTGGTTTTATATGCTCCCGGGGAATGTTGTCTTGTCAGCAGGCACACCACATTGAAGATACTTCCTACCTAATTATCCAGATACATGCATGTGTGATAGAGGGAGGAGCACAGATCTAGATGAAGGCTGACACATTTGTTGCAGAAACATGGAGATGTTGGCAAAAACGTCTGCCTGGGCACAGAAATACCCCATGAGCCACGACTGAAGAGGCAGGATGGAAAATGGATAGATGGATACAGTGCTACCAATCACAAAAGGCAAAGATGGGGTGGGTGCAATCCAGGAAGTGCTGCTGTCCTGAAAACACAGCATCATTGTACAGATCTGTGCAATCCCAGTTTTTCAGATGCGTTAGCTTTCCCTTTTTTTTTTTTTTTTTTTTTAGCTGCTGGTGATGCAGGAAGAGAGACTTTTCCCAGAGAAGAGGAATCCTTTTATATTTTCCTGAATCTTTCTCCTATCCCAAGGATTGTAGTGTTGCAGTTAGAAGCTGAGCAACGTCAGTGCAGGCAGCAAGGAAGACAGACTTCATTTACAAAGGATAAGCAACCCTTACCTCCCACTTTGCCTGTTTAAGCAAGTGTGAATCAGTAACCAACTTGATTTGCTCCCTAGCATTTGTATGTCTAACACTTAAGCTAACCTTAGGGCAGAAAGGGGGTTATAGCACCATTAGTGTGACAGTAAAGTATCTCACTTCCTCAATAAAAATGCTATTGCGTATTATTTTAAGCTACTTTTATAGTTTTACAAGGTGTTGCTTCCTTTCTAATACAGACATTTCACCCCTACTCCCCACATCAAAAATTCCTCCCACTAAAGCTGTCCACCCTGTGGTAGCTTTCAGTGGCAGAGGCAGATTGGCCAGACTCTTACATTTTCTGACCTTGCTGAAACAGATTTTGACAACATGGTAAGCAAATATGGTTGCCCTGGCTATGTTGGCTCTCTCAGGGCTGAGCAGGTTATGGAGATACACAGAGCACATCCACGGAGTATTCAAGGGATGATTCTCCAAGGCAAAAATAGAAGATGATAATACAGCTGTACATGAAACAATTTCCTAAGCATCTTCTCAAAATGATAGAAATTCTGTTGCCAGTACTCATTTTCAGAGATACGTATCACCTACCCTTCCCAGGAAATTCAGGTGCTGATTCCAGTGTCGGGTCAGCAGCTTTCTTAAGCATGCTTTCTGTGAAGACTGCTTTTTTAGAAATAAAGTGATCCACACTGGAGACTCTGTGGTAGAATATTAAAACACAATAACCTTGACGAAAACCATGATCATGTTTCAGTTCCAGAGGACTCAGCTCAGAGTCAACATATTCTACTTGATTTGTCTGGTCTCTTGGGTACCTCTTGGGAACAACTGATTAAGCAAATTGCAGGCAGCACAAAAGGTTAATACCTTTCCAGTTAGCAATCAGAGGTATTTTTTGTTTGCTTGTTTTTTAAAGATATTGACATATTTCAAGATTTGTTTGTTTAAATGCTTGTTGATGTTTAACCTTTTCAGCAAATAAGTGATTTGTAATTCAAACAACAAACCAAAGCCAACATGGGTCTTTGTTTGCATGGGATCTTTCAGGTAAAATACCCCAGCTTCTACGCTTGCTATGTAATAGCATGACAAATCCAGAGAAACAGACAAGATCCTTTGGCATGTGCAAGGATTTGTATGCACAAAGCATGCAGGGCAGTGGGCACTACTGTTAAAAAATCCGATTAGCAACAAAAGATTTTTAAAAAATAATCAGAAGATGGTAAACCATAGTTTGGATTATAGCAGGCATTCAAAGAACAGCATCCTTGAAAAACTCACAAGGTAAAAAACACTTGAGAGAAGAGGACAAAATGCCTGCTGGCTTTTGTGGATCCCCTTTCTTCATATAGACATTTACCATGGCTGTCATGACAGTTTAATCAGTTCCCACATAGTAAATACTTCTCTGTTCTGTTTGCTCATTAGTCTGCACACATAAGCCCCTCAGCTCCATCGCTGGCTACATATACCTCACGCACTGGTTTGGTTTTGTATGGCTGCACAAAGAGCTGCCCTAGCAGGACTGAGGGAACAACACAGGGGTAGAAACAAATGGCCAAATGTAGGAGCTCCTGAACATTTCTCTAAAGTACTCTGCAGGTGAGAGGCATGTTCACAGAAAGAAGACACAAGGCAATCACCTTTCCCAAGGCACAGGAGGGAACTTGAGTGCTTAATTCAAAGCTTGGCATTCTGTTACAGCCAGGTTCCCTGAAACTCAGAGTGGCAGAAGACAAGCTGAGGTGTAGCTGAGGTCCCGGGGCATGCTGTTGTTCAGACTCAGCGGAGAAAGACTGAGATTGCTCTTGCAAGATGTATTAATGCTGGCAAGTTCACTGTGCTGAACCAAACCTAAACAGTAGCTCTGCCACCTTCTGTTTCTGGGCACAGAATCACGTCTGTTTTTCTCAAACAGGGTTCAGAGCAAGTTATAAATCTTCAAAGGTCAGCAGCAACTCCCTTCCTGCTCTCTATCTTTACCTACTACAAACAAATCCTTCAGTTTGGGAATGGGTGCAAACATTCACAAAATAGAACCAGAATCTGTTGTCATTCCATCCTGAAGGCAGGTAGATACCGCTGACTTTGGGGCTGCACATGGACAGAGAAGCTAAGAGGGCTGTATTTCTGAAGGGTCTGTCAAGTGCTGCATCACTTAAAAACATCTTTTGCACGTATCTCCATGAAACTGCCTCTCTTGTATTTGCTGATAAGTAACACCTGCACGTGGAAGATACCATTGCTGAATGGCACTCACTCTCATAAAATAAGCACTCCTTGTATAAACCATGGATGATGGTACAGAGCAGTAGCATAATCCCCCTGAAATCAGTCATTACCACAGTGAAACTGTTAGTCTATCCTCAGTGTTGCCTTAGGACTCTTAACTGCTAGCTAAAACCGATTTTCATAAGGATTATACTTACATAAGGACCAGTGGTCTAAACTGAGCTATAGAGTGTTCGTTACCAGACAGAACAAAAAGTAACCATTTAAGTTCCCCGAAACGTATTTGGTCCCAATCTTAAACACTATTTGTGATGCTCTCAGAGTACATATAAAGCAAATAACTTTGCAAACAAGTATTTTCCACAAAAGTAATACAAAAATAGAAATAAAAACACTTTCTAATTATTTCTTTTTTGAAGCTCCAAGATTTAATTAAAATAAGCAAAAAGAGTTGGTCTCAGTGCCTCCGTTATATAAAGGACAACTAAAAACAGAAACTGAAGTTGTAACAGAACAACATGAGCATTTAACATTCTTGCAGTCAACTGAATCCCTTCAGACTACTTGCTCAGAAGCCCAGCAATATCTAATATTTCTTAAAACCCAAGTTCATCATTCATGCTTTTTGGTGAAAAATTAGACACAGACAACATTACTGCTTTTATTACAAAATGTAAATAAATTCATAAATTGTAACTCTCACTGTACAATTTAATTTAAAAATGAAGTCTAGTAAACAGTCCTCTATGAGCTAGTGTCAGATGTGGCTAAGGAAACAGATGAAGAAGATGAAGATGATGATGAAGAGTACTCAGTATTTGTTATTGATGCTTTTTCTTCATATTTTGGAGGTGATTCAGAGGAGAGGTACAACATTGGTAAAATATCTGAAGGTGAGCTGCTTCCAGAAATTGTATATACAGTTTCATAGTCTCTAACAGCAACCATTCTTTCATCATCTGCAAGCTGTGCTCTATAAAACACAAAACTGCATATTAGCATAATTCATTTCTCTACAGTGAGTGAAATTCCACTTGACTTACATAAACATACAGGTATACCCACACTCCCTAAAAAACCCTGAAGCAAAGAACTTGCATAAGCATTAGGATTTCATTCTGTGGGCTATATAATGACTCATACACAAATTCTATTACTTCAGAGGGGAAGGGCAAACAAGCTCCCTTCTGACCTTTCACATCACCAGTCACAGCCTAGCTTATGGGTATTACCTGCTTCTTGCAAGGCTATCTCACACTCTTACTAAATCTTCTGATCCTCAGCTCCTAATGCATCTTACCTTTTGTAGTCTATCACATACACACTGTCCCCTTCCCTTATGAACAACAGTTATTAGACTTAGAATTGCATCGCAAAAATCACAATCCCTAGCCATTTGAGATCTTACAGGAAAGGCAACCTGAAACTTTTATTAAACTTCCCAGCAACCCCTGACAGACATAAGCAGTATCATTCCTGCTCAGAGCTGCAGAAACAGAAGCAACTGGACACAATCAGACTGCTAAGCTCCCAGTGACAGTCAAGGATGGAAGCCAAGTATTTTCTCCGCCCTCTGACCATCATAACTGGATCCCAGTTGGTTGCACTGGCATGGTTCTGGTACCCTGCTCATCTCACCTGGGAGCTGGCCCTCAGCATATTGCTTCAGCTGCTGTCCAAGGAACGAGAAGAACTCGTTCCTCATGACTCACTCCCAGATCTGATTCTTGCTTTTGTGTGTACATCTGTACCCCCACCAATACTGTGTGGGGAGCAGGAATATGGAGCACAGTCATCTCATCTTCAGTGTTGCTACTGGTGTGTGAGAATGTGTGTTTAAGGGGGAGAGAACATACTACAAGACAAATGCTGAAGTGCTATATAACAGGATGCAGCAAAAAAATCAACCACTTCTCGGATCAGACCATGACTCAGTTTTCTACAAGCTCTCTCAGCCAGCACAGCCTCCACCACAGCACTTGATGATGGAACAGAGGGCAATGGACTGAAGAGGCAAATCACATTTGCCTAGTAACCACCCATGGATGAAATAGGTATTGCCTTCCAGCTTTGGGATCTTCAACCACGGCACTATGTCAGGAAGAATGAGGACACGGCCTGTTCTCCACGAAAGGGCTTGGGAACCAATGGGCACTAGTCAAGATGCTGTGGCTGCTATCAAGTGCTGAGCCATGGGAGAGTGAATGAAATACCCAGAGGTGGTATCAAATTCACAGGGTCTCTGTGAGGATCCTGGGGAGCATGGAAGGACAACAGCTAGAGCACCCCCAGCCACAGAATACCAAAGCAGGTACGTCAGGGTTTCTGCATCTAAGGTTGAGGTGTTCTGCCCACTCCACTAGAAATTGCCCCAACAAGCTTGGCTACAAACCGTCTCTTTGTGCACATATGCTCACAAGATAGAGAAGTCCAGACAGGCAATTAACTACAATTGAGTTGATAGGATCACACACAAAGTTTGGAGCACCAGAACTGGACATTCGTGGGTTGCAGCAGTTGATCCAGGTGCAGGGGATTTTGTAGGAGAATGGGTGAAAGAAAGAGGGGTCACCTGGTATTTGCATCAGCAGGGAGAGGCCACAAGTAGCCTGAGGAACAGGCTTTTTTGCCATTCCCATACCACCCTTTGTTTTTCCTTTTTCAGTGCAGAATGTGCTGCGTGCATTCTTTCACACCCTTTGATAATCCACACATTTTACCAAGAGCATGGGCAGGCAGCCCACATCTGAATTCAGGACCTGAAATTACAGGATAGAGAAGACTTGTGACCCTCAGTTTCATACACTGTACTTTTACAGACAGGTGGTACAAGAGTAAGTCTGTCTCTCAGCTGCTTGTAAGGCTACAGCAGAACATGCATGTTCCCGTATTTCTCCCAGTCATCCACTCCAGTCTGGTCTTCTAAATGCATTTACACTGAAACAGTTTTTGAGGGTGCCCTTGGACTGTATTTGAATTGGCTGTCTCAGGCCTACCAGAGGTCCAGGTTTGCACTCGGGGCAAGTAATTTCTCCACACACATCCACTTGCTCTGTATGCACATCTGGGATGTACATGCCAGAAGGGAGTTACAGTGCATGCTGGAGCTGTAGCACAAATAGGCTCAGTGTAGTGCCTAACTCCAGGACCAGCAACAGCTGGTATGAAACACCTTCCAGCTGTGGATATCTTCATCCAGCCCAATAAGAACGCAGAGACTTCATGTAAACACTTCTTTTAGCAGCAGTTTATTTTCTCTCCTGCTTGCTCTGAGTGTCCTTTGATTGCAGTAGTATAGCTCTGAGAGCTCATATATTTCACTTGCAATCTGAGAACAGGCAAAGACTTTCATACTTAACAAAATAAAATGTTTCATCACACAACACTTTGTGCCTGGTCATGAGAGACACTGCCCTCTGAAAAGCATTTTTGCTTGACCAACTCCAACATCTTTGCATCCCCACATCTACCCTTGTCATCCTGAAATGGCAGATGTTTTAGGGCACTGAGTAATCATCAGGTTCTCATCACCTTTGTACAAAAAGTACTCTGTCTCAAACAATTTAAGTTGAAAAACAGAAGACAATGAATTATGTATGTAGCTAGGGTTTATTAGGCATTGCATGCCTCAGCACAAATCATCAACCTCAAGCTGGACCTCAGTCAGTGGGAACCAAACACTGAGTGTTTTCCTCTCCTAGATGGTATGTACATGATCTTTTTTTTTTTTTTGTTTGCAGGCCAGTCCCGCTTTGCACTAGTGAATGTTGCACTAGTAGCAAGAAAGAGTGAGTAGGGGTTTTGATAGAGGTATTTATTCTAAGTTTAAAAAAGGGATTTTGAGAAAAGGCAGGAGGACAGTCTGGCTTTTTGTAATAGTAAGAGAAGGAGGCACCCGCTGTCTCCAACAAAGATGGGGAGAAAATGTTTGGAGCAGGGCACTAGGAAGTAGAAAACAATATTCAGAGCTGTTGATAGTGACTGACTAGAGAACAGAGTGCCTCGCATAGTGGGGCTGAGCCTCCAGAATTCACCAGGTATACTTCAAAGGATGACTAAAAAACCACAGACATGGCTGCACACAGTGTGGTAACAAGAATAAGCACCATTGCTAACACAAGTATCCTCCTCCTGTGGCATTTAGGTCTTTGGACAGGAAGAGGGTTCGTGCTTGTTTACTTCAAAAGGAAGATTAGCACTAGAGTTCTGAAGAAGTACAGACATCAGGCACACAGCTGCGACAGCTGCTCATGGAACATGCTGCTTCACGTGAGTGGAGAAGTCTGGAGTATAGTGAAAGCTATTAGAGCAATGGCCCAACAACTACCATGACTGGACATGGCCAGGCAGGCTGGAGCTCTTGCTGCAGTGATAATGCTTAGGATGCTGCAGATACAGTCTTGTAAACTAAAGTCATCCAATGAAAAAGTCCCACATCACCTACTGACTCACAGATCAAAAAAACAAGCTGACATATGACCTTCCATAAGGTAAAGCCAAGTCAACTCTGTATCATTAGGGGCCTGAAAACAAGCTGGGGGCTCTAGGCTTGTGGTATCTAGCTCTCCTAGACAGATCTAGTTCTGGCTCCTAGTACATGGCCCTTGCAGTGACCTCCTTCACCCTCAAGTTAGCAGCCCACTGGTGGTAACCCACAGGGGATAAATAACCCTGCAAGTTCTTGTGGTGCAGACAACTCTTTGATCAGTCAGTAGCTCTTTCTCCCTCAGCTTGGTGGTGGCAGCACCCTGCAAATCAGTTGTTCTCAATGGATGGAAGAGTGGCTGCATGGGTAAGGTACAACATCTTGAGATGAAGCTGACATTACAACCTTCCTTTTAAGCTCCCTGGAGCATCCTGCTCTTCTCCTGCAATATCAAAGTACCCTTTTATGTGGACACACTGCCACAGCAGGAACCAGGCAGACCAGCATGGCAGGTCTCACTCCTCAAGGCAGGGAGATAAGGGTCACAGGGAGAACACAACAAATTATAATGGTGTTCCCAGGGCCCGTGGATAGGTGTCATGAAGAGCTCATTGCATTGGTTCTACAGAGGCTTCCTAAAATTTGGCAGTGTGGATATCACGCCACTGTGGCACTGCTGTCAGGGGCACCTTCTTTTGGACAATCTGTGGAAGAAATCTAATCTATTTAAATAATGCTAATGATTTAAGACTTTGTCTTCACTTAAGAGGTTCTTTTCAGGCATAATAAACTGGTAAGAATTTAACCCTCAAGAAGGACAGACTGTGGCTTGTGATTCCTCTTTTATACTAGGATATTTTAATGCCTTTTCACATAAGATAGCTGAAATAAGTCAAATGATGCACTAGAAAACTTTGCCTAGTAGAGAGTTAATTCACAGTGATTGTTTAAGAACAGTCTTGGATACCTTGAGAAACATACCAGATCTCCAAAGACACAGAAGAAAACAGTCTTACCCATCACTGAAGATAGAGTGGTATGGTGGAGGATTTTCACTTGTTGGCAAACCACTTGACATAAGACAATGTGTCACAGTTGGTGACACAGGGTCAGCAAAATAAGGAGGTGGTGGAGGTGGGAATACCATTACAGCATCACCTAGGGAAAAAAAACAGCAATTACTACCTCTAAAAAGTTCAGAATCACCGTCTATTCTAACCATACCCTAGAATACTTCCTGACTTTGGAACTACAATATTTGTACTTATCTAGCTTTTGAGACAAAGTGCAGTGATCCCACAGAACTGTTATATTCTGGGCTGTTAAAGTACATCGGCGGGACATTCAAAACCAAAATTAGCCCAAAATAAAGATGCAGCATATTCATAGAGAGAAGATTTCATTTACAAAACACAGCTGGGGAAGGCGAGCGTTCCATCTAGCTAAGAGACCCAAACCTCTTCACTGCCAACTGCCTGCAGAAGCTCCAAGTGCAAAGCACACAGTTACTGTTTAAGTGTAGGTGAGTATTTACATTTCCCCACATATCTAAAATAGGACAGTTTAAGTTTGTCCACATCTACTACAGTGTTATAGCAAAAGTATTCAAGTCATTAACGGTTCTGATGACTGATTCTGTGTGCTTTGACAGTTTCCCTACTAAATTACTCATAGCTGAAGGCACACTACTAACAGTTCCATGGTACTATCAATACATAATTCACTATTAAGTGTACTGTGCAGCATATCTACCGTTTTCAATTCTGTAATTGATGAGTTTCAAATTTTATTTTTATTTTTTAAACCGAATGTTTGTATTAGTCACCAAGTTTGCATTATTTCTATAAACAGTCACAGCTGCCAGGCACCTTTTTTCTTTTGCCATTTGTCTGTAGGGACAGGTCAGGGAGAATCAAAAATATTGAGTAAGGTGGGGGGTGTTTTCTAGCTGACTCACCACTGTTGCAGAATGTCACTATGCCAACCAGACCTCAGCCTTTAGCCTTTCAGTATTACTTTTCCTGATGGAAGTATAAAAGAAATCCACTAATTCTGCTTTCTTGCCTTTAAAGACAATCTGAATTCTTTTCCGCAACCTTTTGATTTATCCTGGTGGCTGGAAAACTGACTTTAAACCCTCATGTCTAAGGGTCACCAGGTTACAGGTGTGTACATTGGTTTAGACAGGCAGAAATAAGAAGTTTTGCATAATGAATTTCAAGTCCAGTCAGCCAGATGACAGTCAAGCAGTACTATGGCTGACTCCTTTCTGAGTTAGAAAATTAGCAGAATAATATATGCATAGAACATATTCACAGGGTATTAAACCCAGTGCTATATGTAGGGAAGCATTCCCTGCTAATATATCACATTTACTCAAATACTGTGCAATTAACAGAGCATCTTGCAATTACATCTCTGTCTGATGGAAGATGTGGCCATGATTAAAAAAACCAAAACAATACACTGCTTATGATTCAGATTCTCCTGTTTAAGAGGTCAGAGCTCAAGGCTAAAATACATGTTAAATACAGTCACAGAAGTTATTAGAACTGTGATTTGTAGTGTCAGCTACACCCTCTGGGAAAAGAAGTGAGATTGGACTTATTTGTATCACATCACATGGCTTCTTTTGCACAGACAGTCAGACCTTTCTTTTTATGCCAAAGGAGAGGTATCTTTCTTTTAGAGAAAGGTAACTGAACTGACCACACAGAAAACATATGAGCCAAAGCAACATTTTTCTGTTTTGGCTGGTTTGACATGCCCGAACTGACATGCTTAGAGCTCAAATGAGTGATATTCAGAGCTAAATCATTAGTGGGGAAAAAAACGCTCTACTAACTCTCAAATGTAAAGTTCACACATTATTTACCCACCTACTGTAACCTGAAAAGATTCAGAGCTCTGAGGATGTTCTTCATTTTCGCAAGATTCTTGGTTGAGATTTAAGTTTTGTTTCTTTTTAACATGAGCTATCACGAAGAAACACAACCCAGTGAGCACAATCAAAGGTCCCATGATTTGAAGTGACAGGAATCCACAGCCCTGGAGGTCCACATCAGAACTGCTGGTGTAGTTGAGCTGTATGCCGTGCCAGCCCGGTCTGCAGCCAGGAACCCAAATGCCCAGGATGCTAATTAGCATTCCACTAGTTAAAAACAGGAATCCAAATATGAGAAACTGGGCAAACTGACAGCTCCCATGACAAAAAACAAAACTGTACACCTGCTCATTTTGCAACTGTCTTTGTCTGATATACAGCCTGGCCCTTGATCGTGCCAGTAAAACACAGACGAGTCCAGTTACAGCCAGCACAGGCCCAGCTGCCTTAAGGACCTCGTTACAGTCACTGAAGGTTCCAGATGGGCACGACTGAAGAATAAAGACTGAAAGCAGGAATCCAGCACAGAGCAACACAGCTCCAAATACAAAAAGGAAAAAAATAAGTTTCCCATGTTGTCCATTATTTCCTTCACCTCCTGGTGCAGGAACAGCCACTGGATACATTACAACAGAATCTCCTCAAGCAGATGAGTTGGGTTTTTTTTTGTGGGTATTTTTTTCCTGTTAGCATTAAGTGGCAGAAAACTACAGGAGATCTGTGAACATGAAAATACATGAATCAAAAGAAGAAAAAAAAAAAAAACACAGTGGGACTAACTTCCTGATAATGTTTACTTCTGCATTCGCTACTCAGCCTATACGGTACACTCTTGGTGCATATTCGGTTTTATAGTACATCCGTTATGGATAAAGGGCCTAATCAAGTCTGCTGCTATAGAATACTGATGAAAACACAGAATTTGCTTTACAGTTAGACTGAAAATTGGCGCTGTAATTGGTGCTGCACAGCTAAATGAGTTATTTATTTTATATACATTGTTATCATCAAGGAGACATTATTTTCAAAGGCTGAATCTTGGGAACAAGGACAGGCTAGCTTTCCCCTTGAAAACAGAGAGCTATGGCGAAATTTCAGTAGTGAATGGCAGGAAGTGACAGCTCTTGAGAGAAAGAACCTTAATGTAAACGAGTATTGATGACTATTAGGACTTTTTACCAAGTAAATCTAATACATACCTTTTCAAAGTATGTAAGCCTTGCTTCTCCTTCCCCAGGCAATAAAGACTTTTCTGCTTCTTTCCTTGAATCAGCTTCCTGTCCTACACAGCTGCAAGAGCACATACACAGAGGATTTTTGGTTCTGTTCTAAAAAGACAAAAAAATAAAAAAAGTGCCATACTAAAGACCATGCACTTCAAGTCTCACTGATGCCATAGTTAGAGCTGGTAAACATACTGCTCCCACACTTCCTTTCAACTTCCGCTACTCCTGAGTCCTTTGTTTGTACTCCAAGAAAGCTTTAAAAAGAAATATAACAAAGGTTGCTCCCCGAGGGCTTCTGAGCCCACAGGAGTCTAGATTCAGAAGTAAAACACTAGAAACCAGAAACTAGTGCTGAGGCTGGTAGGAGTCCATATGGTAGTATGGATGACATCTGTTGGATGTGGACAAACTGGGGCAGGGAAAGCCTGACTGAAAGTTAGGACAGAGTGCCATCCAGTGAGCTCTAGAAAAAATAAATACTACTTCTGGCATTACCCACAAGGATGTTTGTGCTGCTCTGACATTTTGACCTACAGGGCTCAGATGGACACCTGTATTCCATACCATGCTGACTAGCAACCATGGAGAACCTGGTCCAAGTGGCTACCATCCATCAAAAGCAAACCTGAACTCCAGAGGAATTTCAGACAATGGAAAACAGCAAGTCTGGATGGACCATGAGGAAGCTGCCCCCTACCAAGTGTAGGAAGTACTTAAGTATGCTCATATCACAGTGTTTTAAGACTGCCCTCTTCCCCTCACCAGTCTCCTATGACAGACAACTTCATCTAGGACTTGGATATGTCAGAAAGGATATAAAGGGACTGGAGAAGTTTGTCACAGATTGAAGCAGGGAATCGGATTAGTTACTGCTGTTTGTTAAGTTAACCTTCAGACTTTCCTCTACCACCTTCCACTGCCCTGCTACTTAATTCAGATGACTAGAAGCTAAAAGTCAAGTTAGACTGACTCCTCCTTACATATGCCTCAACAACAGTTACTCCTCAAGAAAAACAAAGTAGTATGTGATTTCTGGAAGCAAGCTGTTGAACATGTGTCAGCCACAACAAGCTCCACGTCACTCCCCAGTAACTGCAGTGCCCCACTGGGATAAAAACAAAACACAACCATAAAACCCGCTAGTCACTCAAATACATAATTATCTGTCTGCAATGCAAGGCAATCTATTGAGTCACTTTACTTAGCCACTTGTAAGAGTAGGACCCAATTAAAGAATCAGCTGAACAGATACAGTTATTAGGTGAAGTTCTTAGATGCTTTACTGCTGAATGTCAAATCAGATCCCCAGCAGCATGGGAGAAGGCAGGCAGAGAGCAGCAGGCAGGTAAAAGGCACAATAAACACAAGACTTGATGAGCAAGGAAACAGGCTGCACCACACTGCAAGAAGGCCACTGCAGGAAGCAACAAAGCCTGGCAGCTGGCTACCTTGAATAGCAAACTGAGGGACCTCCCCTAACGCACCCCATTACTGTGGTCAGTTAATTTGTAAACTATGTCTGTTAAATGTTTCTTCACTGTTCTGAATTCAGTCTGTCCCTCTAAGATTGCTTTGAAAAACAGCCGAGACTCCCTTGGTAGAAGAGTCACAGCCTCACTCTGGGGGAAAAAAGTTTATAAAGACCACTGACGATGGGACAGTATGTCATGAAAAAGAAATTAAAGAAATTCTGATAGATTTAAATCTGAAGACCCTTAGCTAAGCACACTTTCAATACTGCACGAGCTAGTCAGTCTGAAGGCTCTACTTCTGAGCAGAGAAAATGGATTCAGTAGGTCCTTCCTCAATTTCACTGCTCTTTCCTAAGTTAATAAAACTGTGTGTCATAACTGCATATGCTCCTTCGTGTTTAGAATTTTTCCCTATTTTCATAATTTATCTGAGGTGGCTCAGATTTACTGACCTACCAATAAATGCACAAAACCAAGTAAAGGGCCTCAGAAGTGCAAAAAAAACCTCGAACAATCCAGCAAAGCCCAGTTTCAGACACAACTGTTTTGAGATACTTTTCTGCTAAGGCACATTAACCACTGTAACACCAATACACTATAATTAGACAGAACATTGAATCCTTTCTTTGCAGTTCCCTCTAGGGAAGACAACATGGACATAAGTACAAGTAAATGAGGACAAAAGGAAATAATGTGAAGGAGAATATATAAATTCAAACATTTAGCCCTTAAAAAGAAAAATCTAGAAATTTGTTCTCATTAACACAGCGCCTGCTTCTCTTCCACCAATCTCGTTGTTATGAGATGAAGTTAAAACACACTTTAGAAATTAAGCATGTGCATATTTTCTTAATTCTTTCAGGCCACAAAAGAAGGAACATTCAGAACAGTCTGTTGTGGCTTTGAAGATGAGAGCCACAGATTTTAGGCTGCAAAATCCAAGGGAGGACTATTATTCATTTACGCTACCACCAAATTTTAATAGAAAACCCAATGCAAGATTAAGCTTTATTTATTGTGTTTCAAGAAAAAGTATTGCAAGAAAGAAGCAAGCCTTATGTTGACTATGTGCTTGAAATACTTCCATTAGATTTTCTCCCTTCATATTGATCCCAAGTCTGAGAGTAGACATGGAAATGCCAGGTCAGAAACTGCTAGAACAAAATCCAGGAGTGCAGAGGCAGTTAAGTATGAGGGAAAAGGGAACTGGAAACATAGCTTGTAAAGGAAGTCTGTTTATGAGCTTAACTTAAGTGATACAGTGCTTTACCCTTTTGTAAGTCTGGCCCATGCCAGGTATATAGAACAGGAAATAATATCACAATTTCTTGTAATTTTTCTACGTAATACTTGTATTACAACTTTCACATTATGGACAACTTCAATAATTTCAGAATACAAGTTTTAATGATGAAACTGGGACTTTCTGCTTTCTATTTGAACCTTCAGAATTCATATTGTCCAAGATTTCCACTGCAAACACCAGGGCTAATAAATTTACTTCCCCTTACTCATATGAAATTTGATAGCCTCATGCAGTAATATGAATTCAGGAACTGAGGATTAAAAGAAAAAAAGCACTAGAAGAATTAAAACACTGCTGTCCTGTTTTATGTTTCCCAGAGTATGCTCTGTTCCTGCCGTTTTGCTTGCAAAAGCACCCAAATCATTTCATGCAGAAGGATCAGGTTTAGCCTGTGTTATTTCAAGGACTACAATACCCTGTCAGTTGTAGTCCATGATGGAAACCCCATTAGAAGTCACAAGCCATCTTTTTCAAGAGTTTTCCGTTTAAGTGTTTTGACCCATACTTTCAATTTTTGAACTGCTACTGGGAAGTCACAACTGCGCGATTTTTTTTTTTGTTCTGTCTTGGTGTTTTTGTTTGTTTCTTTGTTTTTAAGTTTTTTTTTTTTTTTTCTTTCCAGGTTTCAAATTAAACCATGACTCCTGATAGGCCAAGCTACCTGGAAGTAAAAGTCCTCTCAACTTCATTCAGTTTAACTTCCAAGTCAAAACACGAATGGCTCTCCACTTCCTCTCACTGCCTACATCTAATTTCTTCCTCCACTCACCTCTGCCTCAGTACCTATGCCGTTTTCTGTTCTTTATCATATCACAGTTTCCTCCCTGGATTGCTCTATGTACTTGACATTCAGCAGAACTCACCCATGAGCACAGCTGGTTAAACTAAAGTAAATCAGAGTTTGCCACCTTCATCCCCACACTCTTCCCTCCCCATGGTGTTTTTAATTACTTGTATGAAGAGCCAGGGGGAAATGCCCTGACAGGATGTACTTTCAGTTTTCTGCTTTCAAGCAACATTAAGACTACAAGCACTAACAAGTTTTGAGATGTCAAATAGGTCCAATTTGACCTCTTGAGTATGCAGTCTCTAATTAGTGCCTGACAGTGCTCTCAGCTCACAGAGCACACAACTCCAATATCCTAGGAGGAGGACTTCCAAGATTTATAGGCTATGTAAAAAGATTCCTAAGCAGGGTGCACATGCCAGAGAAAGAAACTCTGCCCATACGGGTTGACAAAATGATTGTGTCAGCTCACAGTAGAAGGGTAACGCTATGCTGTTACTTATAACTATTGCAAGTGGGATGGGAGTTAATGTCTGGAGAAGTGCTGGAAAGCAGATGCAGTAGGAATTTCCAGAAAATTGAATGAATCATGCCAGTGTGCCAGGGATCTTTCTCACCACAAACTGGCACAGTCAGGGATTCTGACCTGTGCCAGACAGAACTGCACTCCATGAAGAAGCTGGCAACTATGGTCCCTGTGGGCTACAAAATAAAAACAGCTGGAGTAAAAGCTGGTTCACAAATGTTGCCCACTCACTTTGGCAGGGAAGAGAGTCCGAATGCCATGGTTGGATGTGATGACACCAAAAGGGTGTCTGGACACAGAGAAAAGCTTGCAAAGCAAAGTCTGGTAATCCATTGGTTGGGTGCCATGAAAGCAACTAAGACAGCACCTAGATTCAACAATGGGCTATGAGGAGTCCCATGCATGTGGGTGTTACGCTTTTTATATAAGACACTGGTGGCACACAAGCTGGGACAGAGCAATTCCTATTTTCTGGAGTACCTGCAGGGAGACTACGGAGAAGGTAGATAGACACAGCTAAAGCCAGAGCTGACTTTCTTCAAACAGCCAACAGAATTTCTGGCAAGTTCTGTGAAGGTCTGTCTCATTGGGCTCATGCACCTCAAAGCATCAAAAGGCACAGGCAAAGAGACTTGTAGATCTTTGAGAGGCTATGACTGTGACCATCAGGAAGATGTAGGACTGCAAAAGCCTCCTGAAGCCTTTTTGTCCCAGTTTCTTGAGTGGCATTAAGCCACAGATAACTCATGGACAAGCAATTAAGTTCCACTCCATCTGGGAAAAGTAGCCTCCCACGGCATACACCTCCTCATGCACCAGCCTGTCAGACATGCTCTAAGTCACCAAGTCTTCCAAGTCACACTGAGATCTTCCACAGGACGGACCATGCCCTGAAAGCACAGCTCCCACGCACCATGCTGGAGTGAGGAGCAGGGCAGGGCAGCCTGTCCACCACCTCCCTAGGAGGGAGAAGCATCTGACCCATATGGGGCCAGCCCACCACCCCAGTGAGAGCCTCCTCACCAGTGCCCCTCCCGCCATCCGCCACCAGCAGCATCTGGAGCATTATGTCAACAGAATAATTTGTAGAGGCCCCTTCACAGACTCCCCACCCTCTCACAGTGATGGCCTAACAGTCCCTGTGGGGAAGCTGTATGCGAAGCAGTGGGCTCTACACGGAAGAGGTAAAGAGGCTTTGCTTTCCCCAGGGCGTTGATGCCCTGGGTAACTGACACGCAAGGGCACAGCCTTAGCCCCCACCCTTGAGGGGAGCAAAAAAAACATGGCAAGGAGAGCAGCCGCGCTGGCGGCAGGGACCGAAGACACGGCACAAGCCCAAACCTCCCCGCCCGCCGCGGCCTCGTCCCTGGGGGCAGCCGGAGGTCGAGCCGCCCGCCTCCCGTCAGAAACCCTGCCCGCCGCGGTGCCCCCCCCCCTCCTCACACCGGCGCTTTCAGGCTTTCCCCTCTCCCCCGGAGGAGCGCCCGCCATTTTCGCGCCCGCCCGGTCGCTTTCTCCGCGCCGCGGCGGGGGCTGTGCCGGCCCCGGCGGCCAGGGGAAGCGCCTCGCCATGGCGGCGCGGCCCCCGCGGGGCCCGGGCCAGCCGGCGGCCGCGCCGCGGGGCGGGGGCAGAACGGAGCAGGTGCGGGAGAGGGTCCGCGACGAAGGGCTGCTAGCGCCCGCCCCTTACCTGCCCGCGGCGCGAAGAACTGCCGCGGCGCGGCGGGCGCCGCTATTTAAGCACCTGCGCCCTGCAGCGAGCACCTGGGCGGCGGCGGCGGCGGCGGCGGCGCGGGATTGATCCGGGCCGGGCCGAGCCCAGGGGCCCCAGGGGCGCGGCGGTGGCTGCAGCAGCACCGCCTCCCCCGCTGCCGAGTGCCCCGCCCGGCGGCGGCCTCGGCCGGCCGGCATCGCCCCTCGGCCGCCCCGCCCCGCCCCGGCGCTGCCGTGGCCGCCTGCCCGCAGGCCCGGCCCTCACCGCGGGGGACCGGCGCCGCGCGGGGGCCCTGCTTGCTGCCCAGGCGGGTGAGGAGGTGGAGGTGGAGGTGCGAGGCGGCGCCATGTTAGTCACAGCCGCGCACCTGGAGGCGCCGGAAGCCAGGCTGAGGAGATCCCTCCGGCCGGTTGTGAGCCGGCTGCGCGGCGGTGCGGCTGTGTTTGCCGCCCGGTTGGGAGATTTCCAAGCTGATTGCAGGCGTCTCTGGAGGCGTGCGTACGTGGCCAAGGTCCAGTGTGCCCCTGAAATACCGGTGGCTTTGGGGTGAGGCGGGTGAGCCGCCCTCTCAGGGAGGTTGTGCCACATCTCCCTTTTCAGGAGCCCTTCTTCTTGTAGTCATTTTAGCCTTACTTCCGCACGCTTGGGAACTTAGTAGGTGTTAAAGTCTAGATGTGGCTGACCTCTTTCAGTGGTGAGCCGGTTCAGCCGCTGAAATGGGAGCAGATGCGTTCTGTCTTGCTTGCTAGGTGCAGGCAGTGTGGAGGAAGAAGCTGACTCTGGTAGCAGAGACGGGAGAGCCCAGAAGTGCAAGAAGCAGCTTTGTGAGCAGAGAAGGAGCCAGAGGAGGAAGGCCAGAATCTGCCACTTGTAGGTGGGTGTAGCAGCAGTAGGACCTGAATGGCAGCGGGACTGAAGCTGCTCCACTGGTTAGGTGCAGCCTGGTAGCTGGTGAGTTACGAGGGAAACAATTTGATGTGTGTCAAAATGAGAGGAGCCAGAACAGGGGTGAAAAGTGGAGTGATGCCCGGGAAATAGGTAGCAGGAGGGAGAGGGAGTGGATTAAAGTCTTGCTTGACAGGGAGATAGGTTGGTTATATGATGACACTGGGGGAAAATAGGATATGTAGGTTTTGGGAGGGGATCTGGATTTGGGTAGAGAGCTAGGGAAAATGGAAATAAACAAAGAACCAAAGGGTATATGAAAATACGTGTGGGGTGTTTGAAGGAGCTTGTTATGGGTAGAAGGCTTAAAGCTTTCCAGAGCTGTAGATTCCTAGATGTTAGTGACACTTTGCTATCTTGGCTGTTTTACGTCCCAACTCAGCTACCACTGAGTGGAAGGTGGGCATCAGTTGTGGAACACTTGGATACTGCTGTGAAGAGTCTCACAGTAAGGAAAGACTGAGAAGTAACAGTTCCTGTATTCTGTGAAGAGTGAAGTATTTCAGTGAAGAAAAAAAGCAGAGAATGAAAAGAAGCTTGAAGAGAACAAAAGAAGATGAGCACTGTTATGAACACAAGCTGAAGCTGAAGTCTTGCAAAGAGTGAAAGAGCATCAGAATGTATAATCGGACTATTTTATGGTGTGTGACGACAGCGACATAAGGAGATTTATTTATGTTTATGTGGCAGTTTTCTGATACCCGATTCTGGTTATGTTCTTCCAATATAGATCTTTAATAATTAAAAGAAATATATATTTATGTAGTACTAATTTGTGTATGAAGTAACAAATGTTACTGTCGGGCTAAACTTTCTTTGGTTGTCTGATACCATTAAATGATTGGACCAGTGCTGTGATGTGTGTTCTCTCTCTTTTCCTGTTAGGTAAATACTTTTTTCCTTATATGTAAATACTTTTTGTACCAAACCTAACATGTCTTACGAATTTCACTTTTTTTAAAAAAAAAGAGTCAGTCTTGGCAAAAGTTAACAAGCTCATTAGCTAGCATCTACGTGCAGATGATTTGTCCCTCTGAAGCTTGGCATCAGCTTTTCCCCTCCATCCACCCGCTTGGGTTTCTTGTAGTGTTGGGCTTTAGGATTTGATGCCAGTGTTGAAAGAAGGGGTTTCAGGAATATCATTCTTCAGTTTGTGAGATTCTGACTGAGCCTGGTGTGAGTTTGCAGTGTATTAAGTGATTGTTGATTCCTGTCATATGACTACAGTCATAAAAACTAATCTTGAGCCATATCTTGTGATTTAAGGTAAAAATTAGTTTTTTATATATATATTTTATTTATTTTAACACAGTAGCTGTTTAACTATGAGTAATGCATATTTTAATTCCAGACCCTAAATGGTAATATTTGGCAAAAACAGAGCTAAAGTGTTTTTTTGCCATACAGGAAAGTACTAAGAGTGCTGTTTGTGTTCCGTCTGGACATGGTTGTATGACAGTGGTTTTTTGGATGTTGATGCTATTAGAGAAAATAAAGTATTTTGAACTGGCATGGAAAGCAATCCTAGAACTATGTAAAGCTATAGTACATTCACACCTGGAGTATGACAGGAAGCTCAGAACTACCAGAGAGTTACTGCTTTTGAAACTATTTCTGGTGTCACAGTGAGTAACACTTGTGAAGACTCTGACAAGAAGAGAAATACAGTTGCTAACTTACTGGGTAGGAACTCGTCAAGACTGTATTGATGGAAGACACTACTTACATTCCTTTTTTTTCTTTTTTTTAATTAGCAAACATGCTTATAAATGGCAAAGCCATTTATGTGGTTTGGATTGTTTGCTTAATGATGATGGCCTCTAGAAACGAGGGCACAAGTGCAGTAAGTAAGAGTAAATGCTGGTCAATTCTAGAATAAAATTCCACCGTGTAGAAGAGATGTCAGTCTGTCGTCATCAATATGTGACTGGTCATTAAAATTACAGCTGTTAGAGTAATTTTTCTCTTTTGAGATTAGAGGTGAGATACTGGATGTGCTGAGATTGTGCTTCAGTTAAAAACACTAAATATGATCTGCAGAACCTGTTCAGATGTTTGAAAACACAGTGACAGAATCCAGACTGTCCTGATGAGAAAGTACCCACTAGAGAAATGTAGTGCTTGTAGTTCACAGCACACTGAGAAGCTTTTCCATTTTGTTTTTCTGAAATTGTACAAGATCCATGAGTCAAGGCTGGTGCTCCTTGCTTTTCTTCAGTGAGCGCTGACTTTATATTAGTATACTTTGAGACAAGAACTGCTGAAGAATGCATGGAGGTAATATGTGGTAAATTTTACTTTATAAATTGCAGCTTGCTTGCTGTGATAATGTGAACCAAATGAGATGATGGTGCAGAAGTCAAGAGTGACCCAGTTCTCCAACTCCCGTTAAGTTCTGTACAGCCAGTTCACAGCAAGCACTTGGTGTGCATAGAAACTGCAAAGCTCAATTGAATAGAGAACTGTGATTTGTTTTGTTTAAGTTCTGAAAGACTCAAGTTATATTTAGAAATACAAGGATATAAATTGTTTGGTTTATTGTCAATTCATAGGCTTAGAAATGACAAAAGCATTGCTGCCAACATTCAGTAAGCTTTTGAACCAAACTTAATTAACCCTGAAATAGGTCTTCTTTGCAGTTTGGCAGATAGCTACAAAAGAACCACAGAAAAGAGTATCATGCTGGCTATACTGGAAGGGAGGGTGAGCTAGGCTTTGACACCCTCCCCCCAAGACAGCAGCCAGCTGGGTCTGTGGCACTGTGCTCATGCAGCGTACCCTGGTGACCTGTGAAGATCTCTCCTCCAGGAGGAACTGAGAAAGACCCAATAAGAAAACCAAGACAACTGCTCTTTTCGGGGCTTGGGCATGCCAGGAGTGTTCTTGACTCGGCTGGCAGTCACTGCCTCCATTTCATAAATCTTCTTTCCCCCCCTTCCCCACCGTCGCTCTAAAAAGGGTGTGAATACAACAGTCTTGTTCAATATTTCTGTTAGTAAATCATAGAATCATAAAATAGTTTGAGTTGGAAGGGATCTTTAAAGTTCATCTAGTCCAACCCCCCTGCAATGAGCAGGGACATCTTTAACCAGATCAGGTTGCTCAGAGCCCCGTCCAACCCGACCTTAAATGTTTCCAGGGATGGGGCATCCACCACCTCTCCAGGCAATCTCTTCCAGTGTTTCACCACCTTAATTGTAAAAAATTTCTTCCTTATCTCTACTCTGAATCTAGCCTCTTAGTTTAAAACCATTACCCTTTTTCCTATCACAACAGGAACTACTAAAAAGTCTCTCCCATCTTTTTTTTATGAGCCCCCTTTAAGTATTGAAAGGAAATGAAGATGTTTAGATAGAAGTGATTAAAAATTAATAAAATCCAAAGAGGTTATGTATTAACCCTAATAAAAATCAAATAGCTTTGTTTTGGCCAGGAGAGGTAGACCCGTATCTCATATCTGCATCTTAATTTGTTGGGTTTGCTTATCACACTTGCATTTGATTTTTAAGAGAAAGGCGTGCCAGGTGCTTCAGCTGGTGGTGCTGGTAACCCTTAACCTGTTGCGCTGCACTGTGATGGCACTGGGGTCAGCGAATGAAGATAAGCCCTGAGAGTGCTCCTATGTGCTGCGCCCGTTGGTAAAGGGGTCTGTGGCAGATGCCCCAGCCCTGGTTGAAGGCTGTGCTGCCTGGCGTGGTCAGGAATTGAAGCCTGGAGAAGGGCAGCTTAGTCGTGCTGAGGGAGAAAGCAGAGAGGGATGCAAAGCGGGACGCAGAGCTCTTCCATTTCTTCTCGTTCAGTGCACACAGAGACCCACTCTGGACTTGAGGAAACCTTTTCCCACGTAAACGGCACATTTCTAAAGCAGTCTTAAAAGACTGGTAATTTTCTGTTCGAGTTCATCATCAGTGCCTTTGTTTAAAAGGAACACCAGGCCAGTTGGTTGGGTATATGCTTAGCAGGGAGAAAATACACGTTGATGGTGTGTTATTGACTGAGTTCAATTTACTTTTAAATGTAAATGAGTAAGTGGCCCCAGTCCAGGAGAAAGGACTCACTGCAGTGAGAAACTGTAGTGAGGAACCTGTCCCTCAAAACCCTCACTAAAAGAACAACATTGAGGAGCTGGAGCGTGTCCAAAGAAGGGCAGTGAAGCTGGTGAAGGGTCTAGAGCACAAGTCTTATGAGGAGCAGCTGAGGGAACTGGGGGTGTTTAGCGTGGAAAAGAGGAGGCTCAGGGGAGACCTTATCGCTCTCTACAACTACCCGAAGGGAGGTTGTAGCAAGATGGGGGTCAGTCTCTTCCCCCAAGTAACAAGCAGTAGGACAAGTGGAAATGAGTGGCCTCAAGTTGCACCAGAGGAGTTTTAGAGTGGATATTAGGAAAAATTTCTTTACCAAAAGGGTTGTTAAGCACTGAGACAGGCTGCCCAGGGAAATGGTTGAGTCAACACCCCTAGAGGTATTTAAAAGACACATAGATGTGGCATTTAGGGACATGGTTTAGTGGTGGACTTGGCAGTGCTAAGTTATCAGTTGGACTTGATGATCTTAAAGGTCTTTTCCAACCTAAAAAATTCTGTGATTCTACGACTCCAAGGGTTGAGTGTTCTTTTCTAGGCTACAAGGCCAGACTGCTTACCGTCTGTGATCTGGGAGTCTTGTATTTTGGTTTGCCAGAGGTCTGCATCCAGGTGTTTTTGTCCTCTCATCATGTTATATTTTCCAGAGCTGTAGGTGCTGGTTTTGTAGCCGTTTGAGTAGAAGAGAACATACAGAGTATGTTGGAGGCATATCAGTGTAGGTTATGACTGCAGAGGTCTTCTTGCTTCCAGCTGTTCGTATTTATGAAGTTCATGAAAGCATGGGCATTCACATGGAGTTCACTGCTTCATGAACTAAACAAACAGTTAAGTGGTTTATGTTGGTGCGTTGCTCTCAAACAACAGAAATTTATTTTTAACAAGCCTACTTAGTATTTAGAGAGGAGTAATTTTGTAGTGAAATTCAGATTTCACTATGTTTCATTGAGCAAGATTCACTGATTTTTGTGGATAAATAAAATGAGCTATATAAAGTTCTGTTGGCCTGCTGATATCACCAGGCCACACATCAAGTGAGGGCTTTGACACACTGGGCACACTTTCATGTAGAGCATGTCCCTGAGAAGGTTTAATGATGCCTTTAATTAGATATATAGACAGCCGAAGGAAAAGTAAGAATTCTGTAAGTAAAGTGCTGTTTACTATCCCTTAGTAAGGCAATTTTGACATACTATGTCCTTCAACATTTTTTCTTAATTAATTTTATCTAAAGCAGACACATGTGTCTAGTGTAAGGTGTTTCTGTTGTGTAGTTGATTGATCCAAACCTAGGATAAGGCTTTCTAATACTGTTTATGGCAGCTTACAAGCTATCTTTCTGGGGTAATATTTGAAGGATATATGTCTTCAGTTTCAAAATACAGATGAACTGCATTCTGATCGACAAGTTAAAAAAAAAAAAAACCAAACTCTGCCCCTGCCCCAAACCTACAGATACTATTTTTTTTTGGTCCTTCAACAAAGAAGTTAGAGACCTGGAAGAATAGTTTATTAGAATTGCATTTAAGGTAGTTCTCAGGAATTGTTGTTCACACAGCTTATAAAGCACTGCAATTTTCTACTATAGCCTGTAAAGTGCAGGCCATGGAACATTTCTGTATCACCTCATCCTTAAATTAGAGCATGTCTTAAGAAGTTACACAGTCTTTGTTTTAAAATCAAGTAGCTAAAGAATATAGCTTAAGCCCTGTTAGTCCTACACAAGTTCCATTCACCTTTCCCTTAACAGTGCTGTTGCCATACACGGA